TATATATATATATATATATATATATATATATATATATATATATATATGAATGTATAATAACAAGCATAATTGAAATATATATCTACATATCAAAAGCACAGTTGAATGCTAAAAAAAATTTATTACCTAAAATTTTAAATAAACTATTTATCATTCAAATCATTAATCGTTAAATATATCTAATTGCAATTAATCGAGATTATTCGATTTAGTTATAAATAAAATTTTTTGAATAAAAGTTACTAAATTGATTACTAATACTAAAATGATACCAATAGTCAAAAATATTATATACGTATAACTTCACATTATTGTATGGTAGAGTAGAATGTTTCCTTTTTAGGTTAATACACATTGTTATAGAAGTCATTTATTATTATATTCTATTTCTGCATAGCTTTACCTGATTTTGATTTCTGATCATTATAACAGTTATTATTCAATAATCTTAAATAATTATATAAAATTATTATGTAAGAATTTTTTCGTAAACGTAAATATATAATAGTAAATACATAATTTCCAAATTAATAAATTTCTAAATTATTATATTTATAAAATGAAATTTTTATCTTCTATATATATGAATTAATTATTACTTTTTTATGTATAAAATAAAATATTATCAAAAGAATAAAGTACCATTGACACCATATTTTTTTGTCAGTTCGAGAGCCTTTTCTCGTAGCAGATGCTTGTCGAAACAATTATTCATTGCGTGTTCTCTACAAGCCCATTCAAATAATTTCTCTTTTATTATCTTCATAGTCATTTTCGAGCTTATTTTGTTTGTGACATTTAAAAACATCGATGATAATTAATGATTTTACATAAAAAGACTAACATTATTTTTTAATTGGACATAGTTGCTGGATTCACTGTCAATTTTCGATTATCGAACGCATATCGTTTCTCGATTATGCGATTACTTGGAACTATTTTCAGAGTAGTCCACCGATTGGAAACTTAAAGCATCGTTTTTAATTATTAATTCCTTATTTCTTGCGCAATTTTCTAAAAGAAAAGTTATTACTTTATAAAGTCGGCAATAATTACAGATTCGATGAAGAAAGTTAGAATAATTTGAAATAAGAATTTGTGTATTAGATTCTTCTATAATATTTATTTATATCAAGAACTTGATACACTAGAAACATTCTAAAAATCATCAAAATTTTATTACGAAAAGTCTTTATCAAAAAATTTTGTTCAAATTATATTTATTTCTACATTCCTCTTGGTAAGTAATAATATTTATAAAAATTGCATTGTTTTATTAATTGATTCTTAACGAATTAAATAAATTATAATAATTATATATTTATAATAAATTATAAAATGTAAAAAATATAGAAAAAAAAATGGATAAGAATGAGTTTGGAAATCATTACAAAGATCGAAATATGAACAATTTATTCGAACTCTTGTAATAGGAATTCTCTTAAAAAAATTTAATCTTTCATTCTGATTCATTTTTCTTTCTCATATACATTTTTTTAGAATTTGAATTCAGATTTGATATTGAGTTTAAGATTTATTTATTTGAAACTTTTATGTTAATACGATATGTAATATTAAAAATATTTTTGCTGAATATTCGAAAATTAGAATCAAATGGTAGTAATATAATAATATACAAACAATTTAAATTTGCATTAAATAAAATAAAATCTCGTTTTCAAAGCAATCAAAATCAATGAAGTGATTCTCATTCTAAATATTTATCAAAGTCAGCTTCAATGACGAATGATCAAAGTGTGACATTTATGCAAAAAATTTAGCTCATAGCTTCATGTGAAAGCAATTTTCCAGGAAAATGGGATACAAAGAGCTTTTATTTTCCTGGATATGCATAGTCAGGCTTGTGCATTGACCGCTCAATGAATATCATTCATTTTGTACACCGAGTTAAATTGCATTTCTCCGGGGCGTCGTCCCGACGAGACACTTTATATCGTAAATTTTCATCTAGTACTCCGCTTTCTCATATTTTTCGTTCTTTATCGTTCTCGGCATTTCTTCTTCACCTTCTGCTCCGCTTTTCGCGATCGATTGTATTATCTTTAAAGAGTCGAATGCGATTTATCGTTACAATTTAGATGCGCCTGCGCTTTTACTAGCGACCAGAATACATAGATCATTACGTTCAATTAATCAGTTTACCATTAATTTTAAGCGAATTTGTTGTATATTTAGAGCTAAAATCTATTTCACGCATGGCTAACTCATGAGATAATGCGATTAGAGAAAGCAGACACGTTACAATACGTGTGAAAGCTTCATCAGTCGATGGAGAAAATCTGATTAATGGATTTCGTATTCTCACGCCATTAGCAACATTCGGACAGGACAGATTCCACTAATGATCGAGCATCATCGTTCAAAATGAATCAGAATAGATAGATTTTTGTGGAAAAGTGAATTCTTCATAAATTGATTTGATTGTCGCATTTTTAACTCGATCAGAAGCGATAAGGTAACGAAAAGGTAAATAAAGTCGTTAACTCGTTGACAAATATTTTCATAACGAACGATTATTTTTTCATAGTATGAAATAAACGACAAAAGATATTCACGAATGCACAGTTAATTGTTTAGAATTCTAGACGTTTAGAATAGAGACGCGTATCGTTTAGCTTATATTTTGGATTTCGATGACGCAAGTGATATTGCATTATCATTTCTCGGTCCACAATGTGATAGATTGCTAATCCTATTGAATAAAATTTGAAGAATTAGATTATTATTTATCATTTAATCTATCATTTAAATCAAATAAGAATAATATTAATATTCTTATTTAATTACATGAAATTAATATATTTTTTTTTATAAAAATAATATATAAAGTAGTCCATTTAATTTTTATTTATTATTTGGAATAGCTTGTTTGTTTTTGATGATATTAAAAAATGTTTCGAATAAAACATAAATGTTTTTGAAGAAAGAATATTTTGAATATTTTATACAATTAATTTTTTAAGTCGATATAGAAATCATATAAAGATCACTGATGTTTTTTAAGAACTTTTAAGGTTTATTTTTATGAAATATTTATGTCGAAAAATCATTAGTTTGCAAGATATTTTATCTTGAATTTTATAAAATTTATTATACGAAAAATAAGGAAAATGCGAAACGATGCTCATCAATTCATATTTTTCTTGTTTTTCGTACATAAAGTTTTATAAAATTCAAGTTAAAATATGCTTTAAATTATTTTTCGACTAAAAACTTAATATTTTTTTAAAATAGAAAATAACGAGCCATATTTATTAATGTATTAAATATATAATTAAATATATAATTTCATTTAGAAATAAATGATCACTTTTATATGATATTTATGAAAAAATTAATTACATCAGGATTATATTTATCTTGAAATCATTCAAGATCACTTTTATCTAAAATATTTTTTAATATTATTAAGAATAAATACATGTTCTAAACAAAGTTTAGTGGATCATCATACAATTATTTTGTACATCCAATACAATTCTGTATACAAGATATATTATTTTAATCTTTTTCAAAAATATAAAAGTTAGATGAACTATCTGTTATATATAACTATATATTAGAAAGTGTTCTTCTTTTAATATTTCAAAACAATGGAAAGTATAAAAAAATATTTCAAAATTATACGATATTAAGAATGATAAATGTTAGATACTTAGATTTTGTGATAACCTTGAACTTGTAAAAATTAATCACATATATCTTTTAAATATAAGTTATTATCAAGATATGAACTCTCAAAGTTTGACATACTGAAAACTAAAATTCGCTTTTAAATCTTTTGTATGGAATTATTAAAAAAATAACATTTTCTAGGTCGAGCTAACAATGTTTGAAGATATGAAGATTTGACGAAAACGAATATCACAAATTCATGGAACGGACAATTTTGGAGGAATCATAAGTATCATAGATCAAAGATTCATTAGATGGAAAATAATAGATATTTATATAAAAACTCTTAAATATATTATACCAAAGTGTTAGTAATATAACAAGAATAAAATATAACAAATGCAATAAATAAAGATATAAATAAAGATAAATATTGTTAAAAAATTTGTGCCATTTTATGGAACATATTTCATCATTGATGAAGCATTAATAAATTTTAATAAACATTTTCTATCGTATTAAATTTTTTATATAATAACTCATCACAATAATCATGAAAATAGATTTTTGTCAAACTAAATTGATGATCCATCATATTCTAATAGCCATTATATGAACGAGAAATCAATAAAAGTTCGTGATTTACAGGAATTTCCTAGAAAAAAAAAAATAACAAATGCATCAGTATTGTTCGATAAGAAGGTAAATCCGCTTTATGCGTTTTGTTATTCTACTTTGGCCGTTCAATTATTCATAATTCAACGATGATTGGAAGGAGGACGCTTCCTGATCGCACAGTCAGCTGCAAATCTACGTTCATATATGACTGTTTGGACAAACGGCATTAATTCTTGTTTTATCACGGCCGATAGGAAACTCTGTTTTCCCTGTTATTTATACGGTTGCTCGGAAACGTTCGACCGTTTATCGGCTCACTGAGAATGATCGTGCACCGCAATTCCTCTTCAAAGTTTAAGTGGATCCTCGTCAAGGAATAGTTAAATTCCGAAGAGCCAGCTTTGCGTTATCAGGTAGTCCAAATGATTTTGCATCCATCGAATTTTTCACGATAATACGAATAATTTATTGTATTCGTAAATTATGAATTTGACGATTTATTTCCTTGTCTTACGTTGCTAAAATATTTGTTTTAATTTATGGATGTTTTTATCGTAATTATTTATCGCTATTCGTTCAAAGAATTGTGTAAAATCTGGAAATTTTTTAAAAAGAAATTGAAAAAATTTCGTTTGAATTAAACATTTTTTTTATAAATACTGTAATATGAGATTCTTGGAAATAATAAATATAATTTATATAAGGAAATTGTGATGATATGAATTTATTTTTATTCAATGAATTTTTATTTAACAGTCTAATTAAAACATAAAAATAGAACTTTTAGAATTCCAAGAATTTGTGTATCAGTTAAAAATTTCCCCTTTTTGTTATATTAGTTTATAATTTTGCTGATCTTTTGAATCAATATTATCTGATTCTTGAAAAACAATGAACAATAGTTGGCTAAAACAAAACTAATTCATTTTATATCTGTGATTTATCGATGGTTCAATAAGATTGAAATGAACTTTCAATTCTGTAGTAATTGATACATGTATTAAATTATTCTTTTTCCTTTTTCTTACTATTTATATTTTTGTTATTTTCAGAATGATCGAGTTGATCGTGCACACTTGTACTTCAGTTACATAATTTTAAAAGTTACAAAAAGTCTTCTAACGTTAAAATTCTAACTTTTCAAAACTACTCTAACTTATTTACAAAATAATATCGTAAGAATCGAATTTCTTACGTATTCAATCATCTGATCATTATTTTATTCGAAATATAATTATAAAAAATTCTTAATTTAACTTTCTAAATTCATCTAACTTTCTCAAAAGAGTCAGAATAAAGATTCACAAAGAACACAATGTTTTAAAATTTTACCTATTTCAAACTCCAATTCTTCTCTGTCCATTTTTATTGTCCACTCGATCAAAAAATTTCGTTCCAGCCACATCGTACAAACGATAAAAAGCAACATCTCCGAACAACATTTCCTCCAAAATTTTCTCCCGAAACTTATCTCTTTTTCCTTTTTACAGATGAATATTTCCGCGGCACGACCTATTAACAAAAAATGATGAAATCCATCCGAAAAGAATTGGCGCGTTACCCGGGTAAAAAGGTTCTTCCATTAACAGAGCCGCGGTTGAAACCGTTCGACGTTGAAGCCACTTTCGCGGAAGTAGCACTGGCAAGAAAAGAGCACACGAGAAAATATCACGGCCCCGACTCGCTCTTGTACTCGGCTATTTACCCCGTGGTGTGCATAATGAAAGTGTTCGGTTTGGCGCCCTACGATTTCACAGGTGACGAGATAACACCCTCGAACGCCTGCCTCCTATTCTCGTTCGCCTTTATTGGTGTTTATTGCCACATCATATACATCGTGTACAAAAGATTCCTCGGCATAAGGAGGGACAAAGCGATTCTCAGCGTGGTGGAAACGACCAAGGTAAGGCTCTTAAGGCAATTTATCGTTTCCACGGTGTTAACGTTACGTTACCGTAGGTAACCGTCAATTACCTGGTGGCTATGTACGATATAATTTCCACGATATTCACGAGGAAAAGGTTCAGCCGAATTTGGAACGCCCAGCAAGATTTCGACGAGAGGCTGAGCCAATTAGGGTATCCGCGAAAAGAGACCAAGGTCAAGATCGCGATTTGGATACTTTTGGCGAGTCAGATCGTTACTTGGACGGCCGTTAATCAGAGTGGGATGTTTGCTTTCGAAGAGACGTGGACGTTCAACGTGAGTTACATGTGTCCTTACATCGGCACTGCGACAGCTGTGTACAAATTTTTCGGAATGGTAAGCTTTCTCGGCCTCCGTTTCCATCAGCTCAATCAAATCGCGAAAGAGAATTTACCCCCCAAAGTTGGATATAAAAGTAGCAACATCAGCAGACAGGTAGCGTATTTATATGTAGTTAATTTAAATTGTGTTTAGCCTTCTATCATATATTGATGGGATCATGGATAGAGTAAATTTTTAAAATATTTTATAGGTATTTATGGGAAGAAAGAAGTCATACTTTTAAATTCGAAAACGATAGATTTAAAGAATTTTAAAAATTAAATATTGATCAAGTAGGTTCGAAATTTGAATGAATATCTTAAAAATTCTTCATATTTCTTAGTTATTCTTTAGATTTAATTGTATTTTTATTATAAATTATTACATATACTCTGCTAATAGCATTTGAATTTTATTAAAAAATAAATTTTTCGACAGATTGAACTTGATCCCATCCATATTGTAAAAAAAACGAAACAACTAATAAAAATATTCTTGTTTATTCGAGCAAGACAATCCAAGATTTACACAACGATTTGATGCTATCTAGCGAGACACTAGGGTCTCTTTACTCGTGGTCGCTATTGTTCTGGCTTGGAAATTTGAGTATACACAGCGTCAGCAATTTGTACTTCATCATCGATTGGGTCATCTTGACACCCTGGACCAACATTGCTTGGCCTCTCATATTCAACATGTGGTGTTGGCTGATCGGATTTATAACCCAGCTTTTGGCCCTTCATATCGCTTGCGATTATACGATAAACGAGGTAATATTGATTTCTTTTAAACATACAACACAATTCTATGAAACATACACCATTCTTCTAAAATCCAATTGAAATATTTCGAGAAAAGAATTAAGAATAACTTTCAAATTAATGTAACGTATTATTAATAAGATCATTGTAAGTAATATTACAAGTTATTTTTCTATAAATAAATATATCTATCATGTAATTTTCCTTACAACTCGATTGAATTATATTAAAAATTAGGCAAACTTTGAATCATCGTAACTTCGAAGATAATAATTTTCGGTCAACGAACGAAAGATCATTAGAAACGTGAAACCTTACTCTTTAAAGTGCTTCTTGATTTATCTCGATACGATTTCCGGTTTCCGAGATATCGTCGTGTAAAGGAAAAGATAATTTTTAGTCATTTCTTATTTTCGTCTTTGTCGTACACTCGGATCTCTCGCTCGCACGTCGCCTCACTGACCTATCCCAACCTCCAGGCAAGTGCAGACACGATTCCTGGAAGAAATTCCTGTATTTCCAAGAAATAAATGTAGGTCATGGGTCTCACAGGCCCGTTCATAAACTCTGCATTGTTTTAAGCACTATGGATGCTTCAAATCCTTATATCTCCGCAACGGATTGAGATATTGAGATGAAACAAAAAGTAGTAACTTGAATAGCATGGTTTCTTCTACTTTCTGAATGGGTTTTGATTAATACGCAAAGTGATTTATACAAATATTATTTTAATATTTTGTATACTAATATTTATTTTATTTTTTATGTACATATTTATTTATTTAAGCTTAACATATTTAAAATAATTTCATTTTCTTTTAGTTAATATGAATAATAATCAAATCTTTTAAAATTGCAAAAATTCTGTCAATTTTACTTAAAGTATTTGTTTCATTCTTTTTCATCATAACTTCTTCTATTTGTGAATATAAAGAATTAAAATAAATTAATTATTACAACATAGATAACTTCAGAAATTACGCGTATCCTATATTTTTTTTTTCATCATTATCAAAGATTTTTGATCGCAAAATCTCTAATTCCAGGCTAACTTTATGAGCGCCATTCTCATCGAATGGGAAGCAAGAACACTACAAAAATTTCCATACGAAGCAAGTATCTAAGCAAAACATTATTTCGTGTGATGAAAAATTATATTAATTATTATATCTTACGCAGGATAGTTTTCGTACTTCGTTGTACTCGTTGAACAGACGTCTTTGTTTCTCCGCTGCTGGTCTTTTCGATATCAAATTGTCATTGCTCTGCTCGGTAAGTTCATTTTCTATCTTTTCCGCAAAAAGATAAGCTCTTAATTGAAAACAATACTCCACTCTACTCACAACTCGAAGAAAATCCATATTTATTTCTCGGTCGTTCCAATTTCGCGTCTTTGTCCACTATTAATCCCAAGATTAATTGAGCTTAATAACCATGGCTTTCAAATGTTAAAGTATCGTAAATTGCATCACGAAAGTACCTTGAAAACGATACCACAAATTATTCCACCATTTCCCGTTCCATTATCGAAACGAATTTCTAATGAGTCCGTTGATAATCTAATTTCCAGATAACATTTTCGTAGATAATTTAAATCAATAATTGTGATTTAATTTATTTCAAATAGAGAGTAAAGTCAGTTTTACTTTATTTTAACAAAATATCCAAAAAAGGATTAATTATTCAAAAAGAATATTGTTTTACAGATAGTCAAAGTGATGTCAAATTATTTGATAATCCTTTTACAATTTCCTTCAAGTTGAACGTTTCAAGATAAGATTAATTAAATCTATCGTCTTGGATAAATATTATTCCTCGAATATTTTTCTCCTGTATTTGCATCTAGACGATCAAGCATACTTGAAACTACTTTCTGGTAAGTAGTGCATGCAAATATGTTGAATGAGCACTAGGGAATATACAGAGTGTTCCATAATTGTGAGGTGCAATGGGACAAGAAATGATTCTTGATTTGTTGATATGAATATTTATATTGTTGATTTTTTGATATTTTTAAGTTTATTCAAGATTAAATGAATGACAGCAGGATCAAACTCTCTTTGTCTCAAGCTATTTTTTTTTTTTATATTTTTAATATCATTATATTTATATATTTGCAAAAGAGATTAAAATAAGATTTCTATATTTTTGAATTTATTTCATTATTATACTAATTTTAGATTTTTATTTTGATTAAAATTTTATATAACATTCAAATCATATTCATAAATATTCGGATACGTTCTATGATAAATATTTTTTAAAATACTTTTATAATTGCGAAAAGATTGTTTTTAAATTTTAAGAGAATCGATTTTTTCGTGAAATTTATACTCGGATTGGATAGGAATTTGTTAACTACAGTGAGCAGGTGTGACAATTTTCTCTTTGTTACGCTTTTATCCAATAAGTAAAAGGTAATCTAAGTACTGGAATATTTGAAAAATTCGATGATATATAGAATGAAAATGCAAAAATTGATGCATTCTCAAAAATATTCTTGTATCAATTTACTTATAATAATCAATAATAATATTTGAAATAAGATAAAATGTTTACATACAAACATACATTATATCTCTAACTGTGTTGGATTAACTGGAATTCTATATTAATTGTAAATAAAATAATATTTGAAATATTATTTGATTTTTTAATCATTAATTTAGTCAAATAAATTTATTTGTGAATTGCAAATTATTTGATTTTAACAAACAATATTAATTTGTAAATAATATGTGTATATTTGAAGAACTGGAATATTATCTAAATCCTAAGGGAAACATAATAAATAAATAATGATAGTGGATAACTTATTATGGATGATGGATTTAATAAATATATAATAACAATTTTATTGTACAATATTAATATAAATTTAAAATAACTGAAATATATCTACAATTAAATATTTCAAAATTTTCATATAATCCTGTCAATCAAATCATTAATCACACATATTTTAAAATTCGTGTTTACATTTATATCAAATTAATATTCATCTAATTTTATTGATTTATCAAAAAATTTAAAAAGTCTATCCTTCAAATAAAGATATATTTTTTCTAATGTAATTTCTTATTTATTCTTTTTTATTAAATAATATTCATAAAAATAAAAAACTTAATCCAAATTTATGTAAAATTTCAAACAATTATTTCTTCAATAAATATTTTTTAAAAAATTATTATCACAATTAATAGCACAATTTATAACAATATACAAACAAACATAAACATTTTATTCATCACTACTTAAAATTTAGAAAGAAATATTTAAATTTATTTATCAATATAATTTCAATAATCATTCATAATACTTTTAATTTGAAATATACTCAACGATGTTTCTAATAAATAAACTTTAAAATATCATTTCAAAATGATAGCTGCCCATTATCTTCGTTGCTCTCATCGTTGAACTCATCGTTGCACCCATTTCCTTGTAAATAACTTTACGATTCTAAGGAAAATCACTAGACGTAGTTATTGGTTTCCGCAATAAATTTAAGTTTACGAGAGATGTGTCTTCGAATCACTCCCTTAAAGTTATGAATGAATTAAAAATTATACGTTTATATACAAAATCCATACGAACACGTAAAATGTCTCAGAGAAAGGCGAATAAAAAAGATAGAAAATAAAATTTTTTAATGGCTTAAATTCTTAATGGGCGAAATTTGAAGAAAAACCTTTTTGTCTCATCATCAAGGGACGAAGAAAAAAATAAAAAAGAACATTGAGTACCACTGGACACAGATACGTAGCAGCAATTTTCTAGGCCATCAACCTGGAAAATTGCTTCTTCCCTTGTTTTGTCGACCTTTTCCTCTTCTTTGCTGTACGCAACCATCGTCGTTGCATGCCAATTCTTCCCTGTAACTTTATTAAGCTCATTGTGGAATTCATGCCTCATTCTATTAAAATATCAATGCTAACTTTAACTGTTCCCCTGCTTCCTTGAATTTTATTGTTAACAACACTACGTTTGTTTTTCGGATTAATTTTAGAAAAATTTAAGAAGGGTTGAAAACATTTTCACAAAAGAATATTGATGTTTTTCTATTATACGAATATATATATATATATGTATATATGTGTAATTTTCTTTTAAATTTTGATGTTTAACTACCTTTAAATAATATATGTCATCTTTATATGACGTTTATGAATCTATCCAAAGAAAAATTAATTATACTATTTAATATCTGTCTGAAATCATTCAGAATTTTTGTTCAAACTATTTTTTTTATTAGTGGATTAGAAAAATTATATAATATGAATTAATATAAAAGAAAAAGAATTTGAAATTTTGAATGTTACATAGTGAAAACTTTTTTATTGTGAATTCACAAAGAAAAAAGAGATTATTCCTTTCATTGTAATTGCACCAAAAAGACATACAAGATTCTCATATATTGACACACGTATACACCATTACATTTTATATCTCAAAAATTACTTCTAATAAATTTCCTTCAATGTCGCATTTGGCCAAAAGCTTTTTACCAATAACACCTGATTATTTTAAATACAACAGGCTATTTCAATTAAATTTTAACCCTTTCACTTCAATAAGTCGTAACTAACAAAAGTCCCATTCACTTTCTCAAAACTTCACGAGTCGAAACGAAGGATTATGAATATAGAAGAAGAAAGCAAGAGAATTTAATCCCCAAGTTTTCTAAAGGCCAAACTTGTACACCGAATCTAGGATTTAAATTGTTCTCGCGTCATCGTGGGGACAGGTTTGCTCTTTCCCATGGAAACAAAGGTTAAACCGATGAAGGAGTTGGCTGGATTTCGATGTACGTTTCCTAGGCGGTTAGCGTTTCATAAATCTTAATCTTCCAGGGATTTACCTCTCCTCGAGAGCAATTCCCTCCCTTGCAGAAAATTATTATTCGAAATCCAGTTGCAAACGAATCCCTTAAATATTTACAAATCTACAGTTTTAACTTTCTTTTTTATCCAAACTCAATATATAATATATAAATAAATTTTTATCAATTTATTACGTCAATTCTAAGTTTGATTTCACTCTAAAATGAACAACGATTGCAACGATTAAAATCTTCACAAAACTCTCGACCATATTTCAAAAAATCATCGAGATATTTTTTAATAATATACCGATCGATTTCACGATTTATGAATCAATGTGAATTAATATCGATCCAAGGAAAAAAAATTGGAGATTGGACAAATTGGAAAGGGATGTATCGCTTTAATTAACTCGTGATCGAGTCGATACGAACGGATGAACGGCCGTCAAATTATGCTTGTATTTCGTGGGCATAAACAGGAGATATGATAAAGGTAAATTGTCGATCAGCAGCAGTTTCGTGGTGGTGTATCTTCTGCCCGGGAACAATCGACATGAATCGACTGCCCTTTGAAAACGTCGCTCGATAATTAATTGGTAATCCAATTGCCGCGCGATGCAATGCAAACGATCCGATTCATTCGATTTTATCGGCTGCCAAAAGCAGATGTAATTCGTATTTCATATCGATATTTACGGTGGATGATCACCATTAATGATCACAATTTTCGCCAACTCGGCTTGATTTTATTGTTTATTGATCGAGCGAACGAAGAAAGATCGAGAGCAGTTCTCGAGAATTTCACTTGTAAATGGACAAAGCACGTTTACAATTTAATTAATAGTTCGCGACGGGGTTCGTTAAGGTGCAACTTGTAATTGAAAAGGTTGGAAACTTTTCTCTCGAGAGACAGGGAATTTTAATAAAGAGCCGATACTCTTTTCTTGAGGGGAAGAAAGTAAATTTTCCCCTGAATGTAAATTTCCCCTGAATGTTATATTTAGAATTGTTGCAAATCGAATATTCTATCGGACGGATTAGAAGATGAAAGTATTCTTCTTCGTTTCTTGCTGCGAAAAATTATTAAAAGATTATTTTAAATTATTATAATGGTGTAAGAATTTCAGATCAAAATAATAACAAAATCCACTTGTAAAAGTGTATCAATGGAAACTGTTATTAAGGGACAAGTGATTTTTTCCTCTACCAATAACTCAAAAATTATTAATATTGAATCGTATTATTGTTGCAACGATGTAATGTAAAGTCTAAAATATTGAATATTAAATATTTATTATTTAGAATCTGTAATGTTATATTATATTTCATTGTTTCGTGTGGGACACGTGTAATTAGCGACTAATTACGGCATTATCATTGAGATATCTAGACGCATGCTCCAAATACAAGCTCGTGAATCTACATTTACTACGTGTGAATTTGTCCACGTATTATGGTTACACGAACTGTATAAACTGTGAATGCATCGTGACAAAATTTAGATTGTTTTCGATCGATGTGTTAACTTTTACTTTACATTAGATATTTTCGATAATTATACGGCAAAAAGATAATACAAATATGTTTTTTTAGAAGAAATATAATTAAAAGTATTTCAAATTATTTCTTCCAAGTCTTTGAGATAGATATGGAATAAATTTAAAAGAGTCAAGTTAAAGTGGATAAATAAATGGAAAATAATTAAATTGCAAATTGAAATTTGATATAATTATTTGCGAGTGATTAATTTCTCGAAATATACTTTGATTATTCAGGATCGATACTTTAGTATTATTATTCATTATTAAATACTATTTTAATTTCAAAAGTATAATTTAAATTATTCTTAGGATAGATTCGAATCTATGAATCTACATGTTTGCATTCTATATATTATACACCTCTTTTCGACCTAATTGTTTATTTTTTTTTTAACTTTTTAACAAATCGAATGATTGACGTTTCATTTTGTTATTTCGCGCACAATTCAATACCGTTGCATCGTTATGACGCATGAATTTTCGCATCGACTGAAATTCTAAATAAAATTCGAAATTCCGTATTGGTATCACAGGTATAAAACAGCGATGGTTTCGAGATTTGCCAACCTTGACACGTATTGACCAATCCAATTCCAATTGCGTTTCATAGTTTTGATGGGATGTTAATGGCTGCCATCATCCACCCACGCTTATCACCCACGTCACACAATAAATGCATACTACGTCACTACTTCTCCACCAAGATTTTATCGTTATGGCGTTACGAGCCTCGAGCCATTCACTCCTACTATAACCGCGATCTCTTTACTGCAGCAGAATTACGAACGTTCATCATACGAAACGATCCATATTGTCACAATGTTATTCGATCGTTCCCTCATCTCGTTTTGACGAAGTTGTGAAACACCATCGTTCGTTCGACTAACAGTCGCTCGAAGAGGCGAAGTTAATCTTTTTGTATTGATATAAATTGCCACCATGTTGTTTGAAGTTTATTTATAAATTGTTTATAATTTAATAAACAAGCTCTAATCTAAAATAATAATTCCAAAATAATAGTAATCAAATTTTCAAAAAAATGTTTCAATACAAATATATTAAATTATATTCCATAGATTTCTTCAATTAGTATTTTATTTCATTTTATTTTAATATTAAGTGAAAGCAATAATTTGTAAGTACTTTGTTTTTTAATTTTCTTAAAATTGTTACAAATGGCTTTATCCTTTCTTTTAATTGATTTTGTAATTCAAACAGTTAAGTAATCAAACATTTGATTATCGTTGAAAATTGGAACTTATTGAAATATGAAGTACTTTAAAGACACTTTAATGGATATCTGTTCTCTGGAAACGGATAATTGCTTTGATAAATTGACATTGGTGCAATATATAACTATTTTATCAAGAAATCAAATATAGATATAGATGTATTAAGAACAAAGATAAGTATTATAAATGAATCTATCTTATCATTATTCTCTGCTTCTGAAAATTTTATCGAGATAAGTAAATATTAAGATAATATATTATTCAAGTAACACTTTTTTCAATTTTAATTTTATAAAATTAATCTTAACATTTCTTAAATTAACGCTTCTTGACACGTGGCACACTTTGTGAATAATTTATACATTATTTACTTATATTCAAAAGAAAAAAAAACGGATTTAAAACATTGCAAGAATCTTTATTGAAAAAAAGGAATATACTACAATACAAGTGCTCTACATACGTATATCGTAAATTGCACTATAAACAAATTTGTACAATTTATCGAAATCTCGGTCTACGTATATTACTTTCTCACCTATAATTATTTTATGACATAAATACTGGTAAATACTAGCATCACAAAATATAGCATTAATACTGAATTCCAGTCCTTTGTAAATATTTCTTAACAGAAATACGAGACCATGTATTTTCCTTCTCCTTCTTTAAATGTTCCACGCGAATTATTCTAAGCTTTAACATTTTCAGTCGAAAAAAGAACAAGGGAAAAAGTTTAAAACATTGAGCAAAATGTAAGTCATTACAGAAACGTTTCGTCATTAGAAACGACAAGATTGTTGTACATTTTTTACAATTCCATCCAATTTACACTTCCTAGTATCGATCCTATTATCGCATTTAAGAATTATCAATTTAAAATTGAAATCGAATAATTCGCATTTGTAAAAATAGATTTTTAAAATATTAAAATATCCTACGATATCTGTGATTTCGAATTAAAATTAGTTTATAATATCGTGACATATTTCTCATGAGATGTACCAACAAATTTTATCGGATAAATAGATTTAACTAATTTTAGAATTATTTAAAAAAAATCATTCTGATTCAGAGAGCATCTCAAATATTCGCTTATTTCAAACCAAAAATTTTGAAGTAATCGCAAGCTAACAATTTTGATTATTTGTACAATCAATTTCCACATTTTACGAGTCATTTCTAGATGTGCTCATACACATCGATCTCATTAAAAAACAAAACAAACAAAAAAAAAAAAAAGAAAATAACCAAGCATTAAAAGATCCGAAGCAATAATTCAGATAATTCTCTAAATGTCAATACTGTTAGAATTATAACACACAATTATACGTAGTCATTGAGGATTTAATTACGCGTCGATCAATAAAAAAAAAAAAAAAGAAAAAGATCGAACAGTTAAAATTTAAAAGTAATTCGTATCGGAGCACTCGAACAATTAATATTGCTAAAAGTATAATATACACAACTAATGCAATGCCCTGAATATCTCTTAAGTAACCAATAATTAATTAAATAAACAATTAAAATTTACATTTTCACGAATTGTCTCCAATTCGAAATTTCTCAATAATCAAATCAAGTGATAAAATATATGATCGAACAATGATATTTAAAAATCTAAAGATAATTCAGAGGTTTGAACGCAATTATAATATGAACAACTATGCATCTCTTCCTCCAACTTATCCTAAAAATCAATATCACCTAAAAGATATACACCTCTGATAAATATATATATATATATATATAAAACCATAAAGAAAATCAAAATTAAAATTACACGGAATTCTCCTTTAAACGCATGTCGCATCGCGTCTCATCGTTCGGACAACTCTTAGCATTGTCGACAATCGCATAATGCGCGTCCTCCGCGACAGCGTTCCTCCTTTTCGATGAGAGAACGTCCTCGTAATCGCTCGATCTGGATCTCTCGATATTTTGCAACTTTGGGACGTCGTAAATCGGCTCCTCCCTTTTCGAGCATTGACACTTGGCCCAGATCTCGGTCTCGGACTTGGACAAGAATTTTCTCGGCACGTCGTAGTGGGTTGCCGCGGACGAGGAGCTGTGGCGCGACGAATTGGCGGAGGGATCGATGTCCTCGGAGTTTCTGCGTATCTCCACCTCGTACATGTCGTTCTTAATAATTACGGAGGACGAGTGTTGCCCGCTTCGATACACGTAAGAGCTGCAAAATTCCTGGCTGTTGTCCATCTTTGTCAACGAAACGAACGGGTGTTTCCGTATCTTGGAGAGGTGCGGATGCTTGGGCAGTTTGGTTAGGGTCCCTTTCACGAGGGACGGGCTGGACGGGCTGGAACTCGTTGTTTTGGGTTTCAACGTCATTTGGGTTATCAGGCTTAGAGGGGGATAGGACGGGCCCAGATCTAGTTTCAAGCTCTCGCGGGACACCTCGGTTAAAATTAGCCTTTTTTTGTTTTCCTCCCTGCAAATTTCAATGATTATTTTAATGATTATTGCACACTTTGTGATTTTTTTTTTTTTTTGCTCTCTTCAGAGAATGTTCTATTGAAATGTGAATTTCGATGTCTCGAAAAATGAAGAAATATTTCATGTAGAATATTTTTAACCAAGATATTGCGAACATAGAATAATAAAGTAAAATCATTTTGTCCAACACAAATTTTAATCGATTATAACTTAATGAATAAATCTTAATCGGCCTTTGTTTTCTTACATGTTAAAATAAATGCTAAAGTAAGTCTTCGTATCGAGTCGCGTGATTGATAGTGTTTTCTACTAGTTTTCGAAAGAGTCAAATCAAATTGAAGAAAATACATTTCATTTTTGAAAACGCCAAGTTTAAAAATTATCTTTATCAGCAACAATATCGATCAACTCACCCTTGGAAACGACAGGAGTTGCAGAACGTTCCACCCTCGTCCTCTTCCTTCCCCTCCAAGTTCTTCGATTTGAACGTTTTGAATGTGATCTTCCTGTCCAGCCAACTGTCCTCTCGCTGAGCCTTGCTCAACACGTCCGTGATGGAGGCCAAAGAAGTGAGAGAGGAAGAGGAGCAAGACCTCTCGTCGTATCCGGAATCTTGATACTCCCCCTCGTTCAAGTTCCTCTCGGACGAGAACAACTTTCGTTTCTTCTCGAGCCTCTTACCTGTCAACGAATAGAGCAGTTTCTTCAACGATTTCTTCCTCGGCAATTTCTTCCCCGTGATAGGTATCCAATCGATGGAAGTATCCTCGACTTCGATCGGCCTCTTCAAGAACGCCCCCACTATCTTAGGGGTCTTGTCGTTGCGCGAGACTTGCCTGCCGTCCTCCTCCTCCTCCTCCTTTTTCGAAAATTCTTTGTTGCTCGTTTCGGGGAATTCGGTTAGGGAGAAAGTGGCCTGTGGATTGGGCAGGGTGAGGTCGAGCTCGCCCTCCACGATCACCGTGTCGTCGAGAGACTCGACGGCCGCGTTCGATCTTCTTCGATCTTCGAGGGATGATTCTTCCTCGTCGAATTTGAGAAACACGCTCGAGCAATCCGAGATCGAGTCCTTGGAGCCCCGCCGCTCCAGATTCAACGAGCTCAGATATATATCCGACGAATTTTCACTCGCCTCGTTCTTCAGATCTTTGCTCGACCCGGTCGAGAACGTTGCCGATCTCCTCGATTCACGATTCTCCTTCGTACCTGCCCCATCTTCCTCCTCGCTCCCCGATCGATCTTCGAATTCGTCGTTCATAGCCGAGTGCAATTTTTCAGAGGCCGAGGACCTCGCCGCCCCTCCGCAGCTGGTGTCCGGGCTGCTTGCGGCCCCCTCCTCGTTACACGCCTTGTATTTCACCTCGAACGCCGCCACGATCTTCTTCACGAAGTTGCTCTGTTTTCCCGTTTCCGTCGCTCGTGCCTCGTGCTTGGACGGGGAGAGGAAACCCTTCTCGAACTCTCGTATAATGCTTTCCAAATCGGGCATCTCGAGAGTTTTCGATGATCCAGTAATTCTCCGCGGGCTCCTAGGGGAAAAAACATTGTAGGGGTTGGTCTGCCCGCTTTTGCCCGCGGCATTCATCGCGCTCGTCCTTATACGGCCGTTTGTCGGACTTTCCCGACAATTGCCGCGCCTTCTAATCCAACTTCCCCCCGCTATCCCCGAGTAATTTCTTACTCTTTCGCTCCTCTGTTCCTCCCTCTCCGCGCTCCCGTCCTCCGCGTTCAGCTACGGCAGAAATCAAAATTTTCTTCCGTTTGTTGGGAGTTTTATTTATTTTTTTTTTTTTTCGCGCATTTATGTCGAAAAGTGATTTTTTTGTTGGGTCCCCTCCCCTCCCTCCCTCTCCTAGGCGAAAAATTTCGACTCCACTTCGAAATTTGGAGTTATTTTTAGGTTTTATTTTTGAAATTGAAGTAAATAAGAATTGGTAAAGTTGGGTAAATTATATTCGATATTGGTAATTGAAAGAGGTATGTATATGAAGAAAAAAAAAAAAAATAGATAAATTAGAAATGATAATAAAGTTGGATGGTAATGTTATTATTTTTATGAGGATTAAGATATTTTATATACGCGAGGCACAGAGAGTAAGATTTTTTTATAATAAGAGAAAAAGATATAGAAGAACTAACCTCTCCTTTGTTCTCCTTCTTCAGTATACGCTGAAGAATGGTTTTCTTCATTTTATTCGTCACTCGTGTTCAAAATTCAAACTTTCGATGAATAAAATAGTCTAACTAAATATTTCCTATTGGTCTAATTAACACTTACATGTTCCTCCCCTTTATTTTACATCATATAACTATATTTCTATATACACTTTACACATTTCACCAAATATACGTACATTTTAAATATATCACTCCCATATTTGAAAATTAAATCTTATTCTAGTTGATATAATATTTTCAAACTGGAATAGCGTTAGATGTTCACGCGTTGAAAATCAAATGTTAAATGAGGCCTAAGCAGGTAACACTGTCTATTTGTACCTGAAATGTTGGGGGAAGGTGCTGACAAATCGGCGTCGTACCTCGCAAATTTTCACGGAAAGGAAGGGAGTAAATAGCATGTTTGCGGATTACTCGGTGACCACTTGGAAATGTTCGAATAATTTGAATAATGTTATTCTTTAATTTTTTTATTTTTATATTAGGATAAGATTTATAAAGAGATAATTACTTTTTCAAACTGGACAAATTGTTGAAAAATGAAAGAAATAATGATTGAATATATATATATATATAATAAAATTAAATTTTTATTTAACTTCATAATTTTTTAGAAACTTAATTAACATTTAACATTTGTTTTATATGATGCAATGCAATGAATCTGTATTTTAACCTCTTAATTATTTATTCTTTTAATTAATTATCTAATTTTAATTTTAATGAAAACAAATTGTTTTCCGGAATAATTATTTGATACTTGGAAGAAAAATCATTGTGATGATTTATAGAGATAAAATATTAAATTATCGGTAATTTTTTTTGTCTAGCTTTTAAAAAAATTAATTTTTCAAAAAATTGAAGAAAATATAAAACGATAATTTAATCATAAATCGTTTTATACAAAAATTGACACAAGTTTTATCAATCAATTAATATTGTTATATAACTTATTCGAAATTTAATTCCGTAATTGTTTCATTTTTAAATTTATTAATAAAAATTTATCTTCGGACAGTTCGAAATTGATATTCGTAAATTGTGTATCGCGTGTCATAAATGAAAAAATTCCAACTTTTCTTTATTAGTTTTTGTAATCTCATCGTTATATATTTTGGTTAGAAATTGAATTAAAACCTAAATGTAAATTAAAACAGATGAAAATGTATGCAAAAAGCGCGCGTAAATAGGAAAGCAGAATAATTATACTTGTAATTGTTTTTAATGTTTAAAAGTTTTTTATGCAGATTGAGGAAAAAGCGAAATGAATGGAAATGAAAATTACATTGAAGAATAAGTTCGTTCATTGTTCTCTTATTAGAAGAATATTATGAAAATCTCGCTTATTAATATTATTAAAAAAAATATATTACGAGTTGAAAATTTAATATTAGCAAGTGAAATAAAACTTGTAAGTAAATAATAATGAAACTTTTTACTGTTTGCCACAATAAATTATATATATTCATGATTTCACAGAAATAATTATTATTTGCTGGAAAAAATGTTTATTAAACTTTATTTAATGAGATTTTCTGAGAATTTTTGTTTTTCATGTACAAAGATTTTTTCTTTTTAAAGACAAAAGTATGATTTCTCAAAGAAATATGATAAGCAAAGGTTAACAGACAATTGAAACAAAAGTATATATATATAAAAGGTGAGATTAAAATCAAAAAGATCAATGTGAATTAATTTTTTGAATTATTAAAAATTATACTAATGATTACTAATGAATTATTTCTCATATACAGATTTAAAATTCAATATAAAATTGTTAATAAAATTTTTTACAAGAAAAGATCACATAAAAGGAAAATATTAAAAAACAATATTTAAATTTAATTTTGTGCTAGATAAAGTAAGTAAGAAAAATATTTGATTTAATAATTTTTTTATAATACATTGTAGGTAAAATTAGAATTGATAATACAAATATTAAGAATCAGACTTAATCAGTATTAAAAATTCAAGAAACTCAAGTTTTCATTTTATTTTCGACTGTGTATTCAATGTTCAAATAATTTGGCAAACGAATTATACAAGTTTTCAAGGATGATCATAAAGATAATACCTCAACCAATTGTCCTTACAGTCGACTGAATTTTTCCAATTTTCGAGAATAATAGTATCTTTATTTTCTTACTACTTGCTGCACGATATAAATCAATCTTCAAAAAAAAAAAAAAGAAGAAGAAGAAAAAGAACAAAATAAAATAAGGTTTTAAAATGAATTTTAAACTTGTTGTCGTACAAAGTTTATCAATATTTTAAAATATTGACTATTCTTCATCGAGTATCAGCTAATTTATTGCTCTTTACTGTACCTCCTCTGAAAAGCCAGAGAAAGTATTCCTCTTCAAGTATTCAATATCTATGATCATACCTGCCTCGAGGATTCCCTTCTGCAATAAGAAAGAAGAAATAAAACTAATACTTATCCGTATTCTGGCTGCTTCCACCAGAATATTGTATTGTATTTCTTTCCAGGAAATATGCATGGACCTACCTGCATACCTGCTATGTCGATCGACACTTCACCAATTCCCTGTGCACGTATCGATGTTTAATGCGCAACAGGGAATAGAATGAATCGGAAATAAGTCTGCAGTTTAGTAACGTTTTCCACTTTTAACCATTTCGAATTAGATAGATTTCCTTTCTTTCTTTCTTTTTTTTTAATCAAATTTTATTTTATCGCCAAAAAAGGAATTTCTTGTGCATAAGAATCTTGGTAAAATTTCTCTAACTCTTTTACATCTTAATTGTAGGATACATCCCATTGTTAATAACGAAAGCTTCATTTTATAAAAATACATGGACAAAGCTGGAGAGGACAAATTAGTGGAGGACGTAATTTTGCTTTTACATCAAAGGAGAGCGTGGTAAAATTATTATTTTTAACCCGGGAAAAAATTTGAAATAACACAACGATTTTGCTTGCTGGAGAAAATTATAGAGAAAGAGAGGCTGTCTCTGGTCATTCTCCAAGTGTCATAATTCTCTCAACCAGTATATATAATACTGGTTATTTAGCGTTTACCTGTACGGTGGATAATTATGGACAATATAACAAGGATTAGTAAGGTCTAAAGTCTCAAATCCGCTAATTTCGTTGAGACGTAGCTTTACGAGCTTTTGTCTGAGAACAAGCTTTAGCGTCTATTTAAACAGCACAGAGACGCGAAAATATCGTATAATTTAAAGTGAAAATTGAACGACATGGAGGAAGGGATAATTTGAAATTGTTAATAATTATTTTGTAGAACATTTTCATTAATTTTTAAAAATTATAAGTGGCTATGAGTTTTGTATGCCCATCTAATTATACCAGAATATCCAGAAACTTTAAACTATTTTTCATACGTTGTTTACGAATTGTATACGAAGTGGTTAATAAAAAAAAATTCATCCGAATTAAAAAATTTTGAAATTACGATTTACGTACGCGTTTAGAAAAGAATTTGAATTTCGATATATAAGTCGATGTGCGAAAACTTTTATTCCCTTTAATTGTACACGGGGAAGAACAATGCAAATCTATCTTCCCTAAAAGATAATAAATCTTTTAATAATATTTTTCCAAATTATCCCCCATTGATTTGTCAGCAATAACAAAGTAAAGTATCTTTAAACTTCCAAAATATTTAAATTAGATAAATCGTCAAACAAGAATAGAGAACGAGGAAATTTCGAGAGAGGAGAAAGGTTCGTTATTAAAAATTATTCTCCGTAGATCTGCTCAGCAGACCGCAGAAATTCGAGAGTTTCGTGAGGAAGAATGTCGCAAGGAAACGACCGCAATTAGAACCAATTTCCTGCCCTTTTAAACCCTCGAAAATCTCCACCAACGTGTCGTGATACTTAATTGGAATTAAACTCATATATCCCTCTACAATCGATACCTATCTATTTTGAAGATTAATCGAATTCGCGAAATATTAATTGCGTTCTGGAAAACGCATGGCTGCGCAGTGGTGCGAGTAAACGCAAGGCCCGGCCTCGATAATAAAGGAGAGCATCGCTAGAATTTCACGGGCGCGCTTTAACTATCCGATTGGAGTGAAATTTAATTTAACTTTTAACTTTTCAATTTGTACTATACCAAAGAAAATACGTTATGTTGTTCTAAACTTTCTTTAATCTATATATTGATCATCATCTTTTTTTAATATTGTAGAATATTAAGAAGTATCTTATTTTTTTATCGTTTTAATAAAAAATATTAAAATATAAAAATTTAATGTAATTTTTTTTCACTGTTTTTTTGTAAATGTCATGAAGTCTTTAAAGATTTGAATTTGATGTTTGTAAAATTTAACGTATGCACAATGTTCAAGAAAAGTGTTTTAAACAATTTTATTTCCTAGAAATTATTTAAACTTGTCTCTAAAATTTATATTTTTCTTCGTAAATCTTGATAAACAATGATTCTATATATATATATATATATATATTAATTAGAGGAATACAAATATTATATTGCAATATTAAATTAATCAAATAACAATTACAATCGTGCAAACGATCGATATCGCGCAATTAATTTAAATT